AAGAGCCAACGTTACTTGATGTTTTTTAACGCCCACATTTTCTTTTTAACAGAGGGAGTGGGGAGGAGGGTAGTCTGCCAAGCCACGTAAAAATTGCCAATTGTAAGAATGGTAAAATAGTCCACTTGTCTAATTCCGGGAATGTTAGACTCAAAGCAAAATCCATGCCAGGGTCAGGTCATCTGGCTCGCTCCCCTCACTCTTGATATTTTTAGACAACAGGACTTTCCAGCCCCTGAGAGGGAAAATGCATGCTTCAAGTCCCAGGACTGGAATGTAGGTATTCCAAAATCCAACCCGGTTCTCTGTCTTTGCCCCTGTCTCCAGCTGGGTACTGGATTCAGGAGAAGGTATTCAGAAGAGGGCAGGGATTGCGTTATAAAGGGGCTTTCAGGACCCATACATGGTCTATCCACTGTTTCCCCTTCCTCAGGGCCTCTAGGAACCTGTGGAGCAGGGGTGGAGGGGGTGGGTTGTTCGTGACATAGGAAAGGCCAACCTCTTGTAACAGGAGGCTGTGCGGAGGGAAGGAATCTTCCAGCCTCATGACGCCTCAGCCGCAAAGCTAGGGCTTAAATTTGGCTTCCAAATTCCCTGCCATGGGCTGTTTATTCCCCCCACTGCTGCGGAACTCGACAACAAGAAAACAAACAGCTGTGGGAGCAGGTGCTGAGAAAGCCATAGTGTTGGAAGGGTGCCCAGCCCTGGAGAACCAACCGGTAGGGGCGCTGGAAGGAAGCGCAGTGGCATCTGGCAATGTAATCCTGGATAAGCAAAACCAAGGCGAGCCAGCCAGCATTTTGAGGTCTTGCCCTTTTCCCTACTAGCTGTGCACTCTTAGGCAAGTCAGTAAACCTCTCTGTGCTCCAAGTTCCGTCCCTATACGACAGGGATAGTACTATCCCTGGGACATGTTGTGAGGACTGCCGGCTGAGTCTCGAAGCGCTAGGCCCGGTGCCTGGCACAAGGTGGGTGCCCATCAGTGCCCACCATTTTCACTCCTCCAGAGCCTCATACACATGTAGTGAGGGAATAAAAGAAAAACTGGTTGAAAAGTTGTCTACGGAATTCGTCTGGTGCGGGAAGGACTGTCATTTAGTCGCTGGGATGTTGGGAAGGCTGGGGGCTGACACCAAGGTGGCCAAAACCGTTCTATAAAATAAAGGCCGAGTTTATGAGGAAGGGGGGAGGATGGGGAGTGAAAACGGGGAAGAAAAAAAGAGGTAGAAGGAGAGTGGGTTAGTATGCAGGGCGGAGCGCTGCACCCCAGTGGGGAAAGCTGTCTTTTGAGAAATTCCCAGTAGCTGGAGGGGCAGAGGTCTTAAAAGAACAGGGGGTTCTAGTGCTCAATTTACATCGTCCCTGGGATGAAATGTACTGCCCTACCAACTCCGCTACGTACCCTAAATCCTACGGCAAGTTTGGCTTTACACAAAGGTGGGGTGCTGTTGGAGCTCTGGGGGAGTCAGGGCAAAGGGGCCTGGGTTCTGTGGTTTGGTCAAATATGCCACACAACGTGAGCATGTGTGAGATTCAAAATGTGGCAGAAGTGGAAAATTGGAATAAGAAGTGAGGAGAAGCAGCCCAGAGGCCCGGGGCTCTCCCCGGAGCCCAATCTTGGCTACCCTGTGTGGGATGGGACGGAGTCATTTTACTTGGGGATGAAAGAACAGAGTGGCCTCTGTGTCCAAGGGATGTAGGCTCAGCCAGGTGGCAGACCAAGAGTCATGTTTGCTGTCCCTTGTCACCCTTATCAACTCCATCTTCTAGATGAGAGGAGAAGGACGTGGGGCAAGGTTCTCCTCCCTGTGGTCTTCCCGGCCCATGGTCCCTGCTAAACCCCCAGAATGGTCCACTGTGTCCTAAGCACCATGGGATGAGTGTAAGGTGCCAGTCTGCTAATGAGCAGTCTCCTGGCTGGTATGGGAAGCTTGTGTTGGGACTAAGAAATCCTTTCATGACAAAACAGGCTTGTTTTTCTGTGGTTATCCTGCAGCGGTCATCCTGTGTTAAGGTACCTTAGTGTGTGTACATGGGCCTGTTTCCCGGGGCTCTGGGCCGCTGCTGGCTCCTGCTGATGGTGTGTGATTTGCATTCACTAGTGGTGGAGGGCTCCCTAGAAAGTGCCTCCCAGAAAGATCCAGAATGCTTGTCTGTTTGCGGCTTTTGCTTCTACTGGCTAAACGTTTGTGTGATAGATAGTAGCTCTTGTTCACCCAGTGACAAACCACATGCTACCTCTGGAACCTCTTCCCAGGGTTTTCTGGGTCACGGCACCCCTCGGCCAGGTGTCTCGCAATGGCTTTTTAAAAGGGGCAATGTGCTGCTTGTATCTGTTCGAGAGGGGCTTACTGGGGAAGGAGGCTGTGGCTGGAGATTCCCTCAAGATTATTGTTAGACTTTTTTTCTTCTCTATTTACATATAGAGCAAGAGAATCAGAGTGTCATAGTGTCATTTCATTTTAGTACATTGTTATTACGTTATAGAGAGGCCCAGAGAGGAGGAAAACATGCCCAGAGAGACACAGCCTGCTAGCATGAAAATCCGTTCTGGAGCCCAGGTCTTGCTCCTTGGTAATATTCTTTCCACCTCGCCCTAGAACTGTGTCTACAGGTGGCCAAGGTAGGAGACAGGTAGGCGTACATTACAAAGAGGAGACAGCCAGGGAGCACATCACGGCTGGCCATTAACATTTCATGGCTCAGGCACATCACGCAGGGAACAGAGAGGAGGCCTGGATTCTGTTCCCTGCTCTGCCATCAGCTCCTTGGGTGACCTCAGGCAAGTCACCTTGAGGGCTTGGACCTCAGCTTCTCATCAGCAGTAGGGAAATACTAACCCCCACGATGCTCGCTCACAGGATTAAGGCGAAGATCAACCCAGGAGAGGCAAGGGGAGATCCTTAAAATTTCAGAGCCCTGGTGGGGATTACTATTAGCATTTCTAAAATCTGGTTGCAGAAACGTTGAATTGCCAGCTGAAGTTGGTTTGGGATTCGTGCACATTCTGATATAGGGATAGCCAAGATAAGAAGGGACTTGATAAGGGACCTAGTCCATGGCTCCCACCATTTTGGGTTTCATGGACCAAAGAAATTTACCCCCAAATGAAAATTTAGTGGCCAATATAGAGAGGGCAGCCTTTGATTTTGTCTCTTGTGTCCATTAAAACAAAACAGAGTAACTCAGACAAAACGCAAGTGAACTTAACTTGCACCCATATCAGCTTCACGTTGTAAAAGAAAGGAGAGTTTTATGCTCTCGGGAGGGATGTACTCTCGGAGGAAAGGAGTGCCCCTTACATTAAAAATAGTTGGCTATGGGAAGAAGGGGCTACCTTGTCCTTCTCTTCCCTATTTCACGCTGGGCTGGTGAACACCAGCATAGGGCCAGACCCGGCAGTGAGAGCGACCTGTGAAGGACGGACTCTGCAGGTACAGGAACTGTGATCCAGGATGGCTGGGGTCACATCGCCTCATGCAAACTACCCTTGTTGTTGAATCGCGTTTCTGTTCAAGACTGCCTCTCTCTCCCACAAGAAATGAAAAGTTCTGGTCTTGACTTGGAAGACCCGGAGGTGGGGAGGGGGTGGGGTGGTGGTGGTGGTGGAATGATGGGAGAGGAGAAATGAGAGTGACTCAGTGTGCCTGGGTGCTTTGCAAGGCTCCGCGAGGGTGTGTGTTACATGTTCTGACTCCTGAGAACCTGTGCCTTTTCCATAATGGGGGCTCTCGGACTCTGCTCTGTGCGTCACAGCGAGCCTCTCACCTCATTCTAGAAAGAAAGTTGTATGGACCCACAGCTGTGCCTGCTGGTTTTCAGAGTCTACAGCTGCACCTGCACCACAGAAGCACTGTGGGAATTGAGGTCCCTTGTGAAGTAATTCCAGCCAAGGTTAACATATTGTTACAAGGTTGTAGTTAGTAGTCTTCCCTCAAAGATCCAGAATGCTTGTCTGTTTGCGGCTTTTGCTTCTACTGGCTACACGTTCGTGTGATAGGTAGCAGGAAAGGCGTCCTGAAGGAAACTCCCAGTAGGATGCTGTTGGTAGGCAGGGCTGTGTTCAGCCACTGTGTAGACACCGTGTCCCGCAGATGCCCTGGGGTCTCTAGCTGGGTGCCCAATACCCCACCCTTTCTTTTTGACTTTTTTTTCTCTGAGCTGTCTCGTTATCCAGCTGTGATGCTATCTAGGTTCTAAAGTTTATAGGACAGGGATGGGTCCATGTTCTGGGGTGGCAAAAAAAAAAAAACATTGGATAGGAGATGAGGACATCTGGATTCTGGGTTTGGCTCCATATGACCTTGGACATGACACTTCACTGGCTCTTACTTTTCCTCTTCTGTGTGAGGAAAACATTCACCAGATGATCTCAAAGTTTTTCATCCTCAGTGTTAAGCTAAGTCTGCATATCCCCTCTGGGGCTCGTAGAGACGATGCGTTAACTAGTGATGGCAGTGATAGGAAATGTAGGGGGTGAGGAGAACGTCTGTTTTTACAATCCTACCTTCATTATGCATTTTGGCTACTACCTGTTATTTCATGATTACTATAGGCCAGTGGCCACGCCAAGCAATTTATGGATGAGATCTGATTGACTTCTCCGATTCCTTCATGAGGTAGGTAGTATTATTCCCATTTTATAGATTAAAAAATACTGAGGCTCCCAGGTGGGATGTAGAGCCAAGATTCATACCCACATTTGCCTGACTCCAGATTTCAAGCTCTTAACACTATGCTGCTTTGCATTGCTGTCCGTGTCCATGTGATGGCCTATGTCATAGGTGGGGTTTTCATTAATGGCAGAGCTGTGGGCACCAGGGTGCCGAACGGAGGCTGCTCGGATGAATCTATATGTACTAGCTCAGCTCTGAGCAGCCTCCACCTTTGCCTCCACCCACTTCTCTGTTGGGCACTGCTAGGATGCTTCCGGTGGTTAATCTACTATGATGTCATATGGATGATTTAATATACATTTACTCCCATTTCCAAGGTCTTACCTCCTTTAAGGGGGAATTTTCCTGGTGGGTTAGGAATGGAGTCCTGGAAGAGAAGAAAGAAAAAAAAGAGGCAGCGTGAAATCATCATCCAATGGAAAGAACTCCTCTTTTTCTTTTCCATTTTGGTTGCCCTCCAAGTGCTGTGCAATTTAGAATTCGTGTTCCATTTGACTCTTAAAGTTAAAAAAAAAATTAATTCACTGACCCAGCCTACATTGGGCTTTCTCATCCATTTGCTCGATAACTTGCCTATATCAGGAACGCAATTTGAGGGTTACTATCCACATTTCACAGGTGAGAAACTGGGGGCCGAGCAGGGTAAAAGGAAAAGTTTATGGCAGCTTCGGGGACCAGAATCTGCAACTCATCGCCCTGTCCAGGGCTTTTGTTTTCACTTCTGCATTTGATATTTTCCCCCCTCTGGTCAACAAAAGACCAAGCAAGTGTAATATATAAATACATGTGGGTTTTTTTCCGTATTTGATTCATCAAACAGTGAAAGTATGCTGTAAACATACCTGGGAAGGTACATCTCTCTCTTTCCTGTGGTTGGAAATTCTGAATTAATTGAATATATGCCAAGCTTTGTGATGATACGGTAAATAATGAAATCGGGTCCCCGCCCTCATGACTTTATTACAAATTTATATATGATTATAATATCCAAATACTTATAACTATATAACATAAATAAACACAAAGGGATATTATGTATTTATAAATTCACATTGTATTTCATATTATCTGTTCTATCATGAACATGAATATATATATATAAATATTTATACAGATAAATAAGAGGTTGATAGAAGTGGATTGTCTTCTGAAGGGGGGGTCTCCTGGGTTGGGGGGATTGGAGGGACTGATAGGGAGGCCTTCTTGGGGTACTCTGAGCATGGAGGCAACAGAAGCAGCTGGGCACAGTTCTTTACCCCTCACAAATCCCTCAGAGACTGAAGTCCTCACGCCTCACCTCTCTCCCTTTCTCCCCGCCTCAGCCATGGAGCCACACGTCAGGAGTCTTGCCAATAAGGAATTGAGTATCTTATTTCTCCTGTGACTTTTCTAGGTTGGGGTCTCCTGTAGCGCACTGGATTGAGATATTAATAAAGTCCTAGAAAGGGTGTCTCTGATGTGGCTGAAAATAACTCCCCGACCTCTTCGAGAGCAAGAAGTTAGCATCTGTGCACATCTCCTTCCTTAGTGTTCTGTCTGAACACCTAGGACCCTCTGGAGTTTCCCTTTTATTCTGCCATTTCTCTGGGGGCTCTGTCCTTGGCCTTCCACTGATGGCTCATTTTCTGATAAATGGATCTCTTCTCTAGCCCAAGTGCGCTGTAAGGAATTGAGGAAGTCTCCTGAAGGCAAAGCCCTAGCATATAGCTCTGCTCTGGAGATGGCAGAAGTCAGTATAAACTTTTGGCCTTCAGCTTTTCAGGGCAAAGGCAGTGAACTTGGCTTGGAAGTTCCTTCCCTCTCGGCTCTAATAGTCTATGATTGTATTGCTTTAGTTGAAAGCTCTTAACCTAAGTAACAATGCTGTGCATTTGTGGTCGCTCAATTATGCATGCAGTTCATAGGAAAACCTGACATCACCAAATTCCCCTCCGTGTTGCCTCTGCTGGACTGCAAAGAGCATTTCAAAATCTAATGAATGGCTAATTTGCTTCCAAGTATGATCATCAATTAGTGTGATGTGGAAATGCATAAAGAAAAACATCTATGTTTAAACGTGGTGCTAAGATGGTTGAATTCGTCGGCCGCCCAGGAAAGTGTCCAGGGAGAGCGAGAGAAGGTTGGTACAGTAGAACCACCAGGGCCGTCCCAGCCTCCACAAACCATCCGGGAAATAACAGAAAGTCATACATTCAGCATCTGTTCAATGAGCCCCTGGTCTGGTGTGTGCCAGGAACTACGTTAGTCACCGGAAGACATCCTGTGAATTTTATGGCTTAGTCATCAAAGCTGTCATTTAAAACAGACAAATAAATATATAATTGAATTGCAAGTTGAGGCAAGGACTATGAAGGAGGGGGCCCTTCAAGATAAAAACTTCTCAAACTTTAACGCGTATGTGAATCACCTGGGGAACCGGTTAAAATGCAAATTCTGATTCAGCTGGTTTGGCTGAAGCCTGAGAGTCTGTATTTCTGACAAGCTCCCAGGTGTCACTGAGGCTCCTGGCCCACGGAACACACTTTGCATACGTGGCAAGGTTGTAAGAGATAATACCTGGGAGGAGGACCTCATTTATATGGGGGTCAGAGGAGGCCTCTGTTATTTGAGGGCTTTCAGGTTTCCTAACTCTAGTACAGGAAAGAATCCTGTTGCTCAAACCTTCACCCAGGGCCCAGGACATCCAAGATGGAAGTGTGATTATTCCTATTTTGGAGAGCTCCTGGGACAAGGTTGCCATAATTCCCCTGCTGCCCATGGTAGAGAAGATCAGGGAAGCAGAGCCAGAGAGGAACCTCGGCATCTTTCAGTCCATCAGGCTAATTTAATAGAAGAGGAAATCGAGACACTCATGAGTCAGTGGCAGATCCTGGATTGAAATTCTCTGGTGTTCTTTCCACTGCCCCGAGAGATGCTAGCTTCGGAAGTCAAGGTTGGAGATGCTCATTCTCCTCTCCCTTTAGCAATCCTTGCATTTGGAGGTAGAAAGGCAGGGTGTAAAGAGATGGTGACTTTTACAATTTGCTGGGAGTTGTTTATGCCCTAGGCACTATCTAGTGCAGTCCATCAGCTCCTCTTTGGCAAGTGCCTCTGAGTCCTTGCATTTTCTCCCAGATCTTGCCTGGATATCTGGGTCTTGGCTGGGGAAATGTGGACCATCTTGCTCAGTGACTTGGCTTTGTGGTCAGACCCACATAGGCTGGACACAGACCTGAGCTAATGGACCTGCCCAGGCTGTCATTCTCAGCTCCATTGAGTAGCTCAGGGAACTTCATCTTCATGGTTAACAACGAGCTACACTTCCTTCATTGTACTTCTTTTGTTTTAGACTACAGGTGTCTGATGGGTATTTCCAACAATGTTTCTGTGGATGGAGGGAGGAACCGTCACATTTAACCTACTTGCCCCCAGGTGGAATGACTCAATCGCAATCTTGTTCCCTGCCCAGGACTCTGTTTTCCTGTTTCTTTCTGTCACTGTGATTAGAGGGTTAATCATCCTTCGCTCCACTGGCTTGTTGCCGACACAATAAGATATTGTATATAAAGTACTGAAAAGTGCTCAAAATGATAACTATTTTGGTTACTCTCTTGATCCTGATGATGTGCTTACTTTACCCCAATACCTTGAAAGGCTCATTTCTTTCACAGAGCGATGCTGTGCAGAAGCAATCAGATACCAAATGTGCTTTTGATCAAAATGTCCTTTCTGATTGAAAATGGCCAAAGGCAACTAATGTTTAGAATATGCCAGGGAGATTCCATATCCCCTTCTTTGCTGGCCTCACATTGTCTTGTAAGGTTGGCCATGGAGATTTTGGGCCAGGAATGTTTCCCTTACTTTCAAGCTAGCATGAGGAAGCACTTCATGAGGGTGCTTAGTCCTCCAAGGCTAAATGCTTTCCATGCATTATTTCATTTGGTCTTTACCCCAAGAGTTAGTGATTGATGAAGCCCTAGAGATTTCAGAAGGTCCTACAAAGGTGACTAGCAGGGAAAAGATTCAAATCAAGTGTGTCACCCTGGAAGACAATGATCTTCAATGCCATGCTACACTGCCTTTCTAGAGTAGGGCAGGATGAAGCTGGGGCAGAAAATTCTCCTGTGACTCAATGAGAAAGTGGATGGAGGTCACAGAAAATCCTCAGGAGAAAGACAATTTTTTTTTTTTTTTTTTGCAGCCTTTGTTTTGGTATGGTTAGTGTAAGTGGGAACTGGACCAGAGTGGCTTAAAGCAGTGCTTTTCCCACTAAGGATCTTGTTAAGATGCTGACTCTGGCTCAGTAGGTCTGGGATGGACCCTTAGGTTTTTCATTTCTAATAAGCTTTTAGATGATGCCAATGCTGCCAAGCCATGGACTACACTTTGAGTAGCAAGGGCTTAAAGACATTGCTCATTAGGCAGTCAGAACACCTGAGGTCTTCCTTCCCCAAGGAATGGGGGGTGGGGAATAGCTACAGGAGGCTGGGCTCATACATGGGTTTAGGAAATCTTCTTCCTACTCTGCTGATGGACGTAGCGTCCTACTTTCTTATCTACCTCTATCAGTGCTTCTTGCCAGCTACCCATGCTTCCTGCTGTTCCCCTGGGCTGACTTCTGTTCTGGCCCCTGCCGCTCCTCTCCTGACACCTGGGCTTGCCTGCTTCTGGGCTGTGCCTCTGCTCCCTCTTCTGCCTCACCTGGAAAGCCCTGCCCCAGCTCCACCTGCCACCATCCTTCCGATGGAGAGCTCTACTCCACTGAAGAATACAGTTAATAAATGCAGGAAGAATGATAGGATTAGGCAATCATCATTCTTCAACCCTCAGTGCATGCCCCAACAGGCGAGGATCATTGAGGAGTGCCCAAACAGCTGAATGAAAGATATTTATATGTCTTTGAAGTATTACCCCATAGATTACTTATTAGTAAGAAAGCAAAAAGTGTTCACCGGGGGTTACCACCTTAATCAAGTAAGCCAAATCCAAAAGTTGGCCAATTCTATAAGCGTACTGGCCTGGACCCTTTGAAAAAGTCAATGTCCTGAGAAACAAACAACAAAGGGCAGAGGAAATTGCTAGGTGATTGCTTCTCAAACTTTAGGGTGCATAAGAGTCACCCAGGGAGCTTATTAAAAAACAGATTTTTATTCAGTTGGTCTAGAACGGGGCCTGGGTTTCTGCATTTCCAGCAAGCTCCCAGGACCACCCTTTAAATAGCAGCATTCTAGATTGAAACAGACATAACCAAATGTGGTGTATGACCTGAGTGTGGATTCAGGATCCCCCATCAAAACAAGGCACGACAGCTGTAGAAGACATTTTTGGACAAGGGGCGGGCATTGATATATGGACTGTGCACTATTATTAGATGGTATCACTGAATTGACATTGATTCTCTTGGCCGTGATAATGGCCTTGCAGTGAGGAGGAGATGGGTGCTGAGACAGGTGCAGGTAAAAGACCACGCCGTCTGCACCTTACTGTCATTCACATAAAAAGAGCACAAATAGGGCAAAATGTTAACACAGCCGATTTAGGTGAAAGGTTATATGGGTGTTTACCATCCTACTTTTCTGTAGGTTTCAAAATTTTCAAAATAAAACTTTAGGTGTAAGACATCCTTCTGATTCTTGGAGGAGGCTCAGCTTCTGTTCTAGCTCTTCTGCAAGCCCTGCCCTCATCCCAAGCAGAAATTCTTCTTCCCCTCCCATCGATGGCATTCTGTGCCATTCTGCCCTGGACTCAAGCTCTTGGGTGTTTGGGCCTTACTTTGAGAATCCTCAGAAAACAGGGGTCCTGCCCTGTTCACGTGGGTCCTACCCTAGCATAGGGCTTGCCCCTGAGAAGACTTTCTGTGTTTTCTTTTTCTTTTTTTTAAGTGATAAATTGAATGCATTGGAGAGAGTAGTGTGGGTAGAGAGAAGCATCATGGGGCATTTCAACTCACCCCTATATTGTATCTGAACGTAAAAGCAAACCAAAAATCCATACCACCACCAACAACAATCTCTACACCAAACCGGATGCTCAGTCCATTCTTGGTGAGGAGGTAGAGTGGTACTGGAAGGATACTTTTTATTTTTTTAAGGCATTTTATTTACTTATAAAGGGAAAGGAGGCAGCTTCTTTCTCTTTCTAGAAAGGGTCTTCTTGAAAACCTAATGATCCTGAGCCCTTGCTCTAACCTTTTGGAATATAAATAAATCTCTTCAGGGACTGGATAAGCCCAGTCCCTAGGTTTATAGAACTGGCCCTTAGATTGAAGACTTTAGAGCCTTTTGAAATGACACCTCTATAGTCAACCTTGTAGCCTATCTCCTTATATAACCCTTTGTTTCTGGAAGAGATAAGATACATTTAACTGTTTTTCATTTGCTTTGCTGTACAAATTGTGCGAAGTTTCATCCTGACACATATGCATGCACTCTGTTGTGCTTACTTAATCCTAAATCAGCTTTCTGTCTTTCCATATGGATGTGAAGAGGTGTCTGTTGGTAGGACTTTTACTGACTTGAGAATATATTGGTACAATCTCTTCTGAGGCTGAATGATATTTACTGAGGTGAAAAATACACATTCTATTCCCATCACTAGGAATTTATCCCACAGATACACTTGCAGATGTGGACAGTGGGTAAAAACTTCTAGAGAAAAATAGAAGTGCCCTTCACTAGGCACAGACAAAATAAACTATGAAGCAGTGACACAGTAGAATACTAGTGACTCTTCCAAAGAATGAGACAGACTTTCATGCATTGCCATGGAAGGGTCTCCAAGATATACTGTCAACTCAATAAAGCAAGGTGCAAAATTATGAGTCTACTATAACGACATGTTATACTATGTATTTGCAGATGCACGTATTTTTGGAAGGACATGGAAGAGTCTGTCCATGGTGGTTATGTCAGGGAAGAGGCATTGGTGGTTGGGTGGGCAGGGTGTGAGTGAGTTTTAATTTCTTTTCCCATGTTTACTGTTTACTTTTCTTAAACCATATGGATATGGTATGTTATAATAAATATACTGGCTTAAATGTAAATTAAGAAAAACTACCACAGGGACTCTAAAGACATTACTAGACAATCAGTTCTATAAGCAACACAAAAGCAGGAATCTTGTTGGCTTTGTTCAAGCTATATCGCTGTTGCTTAGAACGATGTCCCACACACAGAAATTGCCCAATAAATATTCGAGATTGAAAGCTAAGCTCCTTCTTTGACTCTCCCTAGGAGTTTGACCTGGGAGTTTTTTGATCTTCAGGCCAAATCTCGAGGTAATCTTTGTTGGTTTTCCTACATAACCTGTCTCTTCCGTTCTCCATCACTTTGTTCATGCTGATTCATTGGCCAGGAGTTCCCTCTCCTCTGATTCCCCTTTCCCACCTGCTTTAAATTTCTCAAGCCAGTCTGGAACTCCAGTCTCCAGTGAAATGTTTCTTAAACCTGGGAAAACACTCTGTCTCTGTAACTTGTGGTGTCATGGAAACCCTATGTGGCTACTTTCCATCCATTATATATCATGACTGATCTTGTTTTAAATTTTGTCTGTTCATGTGCTTCTTACCTACAACTGTGACTTCTTAGGCCAGTAAAACCATTCTCATGGTACTCCATCCCTGCCCCCTTCCAACCTCACACAGAGTGCTATGTAGCCATCGACCATTCCAGTTTTTGATAATTGGGATGTGAATTTAAGTTTCTTGGGTCTCTCCCATTGATTTCTTTAGCAGAGGTCCTTTTAGAGTCTCTCTGTTTATCTAAGTTCTATCTTTCCTGGAGTCAGCCTGCATTCCCTCTTCCTGCAGGAAGCCTTCCTTCATAACTCAAGGGGATAACTCTTCTTAGCTCTTGCAATTGTTAACATCCGAATAATTTATTGGAAATGATATATGTGCAAAACACTGAACACTTAATATCACAATTAGTATTACAAGCCTTAGCTTTTAAACAAGTAACTGATATCTGCCAGACTAAAGAAACCACAGCCCACCAAACCATACAATCAGATTGTGAAGTGAATCTTTTCATACCCTAACATGAGGAGTAAGTGAAGGAAATGGATGTGCAAGAAGATAAACCTCCTGAGAGAGAGGAGCAGGAACGAAGTTTGTAAGTGCTTCTGTGGCTGGCTGTATTGGCAAAGGGAGTGCTGTTCTCATTAAACAATCAAGCACAGTCTTGATTCTATCACTTTCTCAGGATGACTTAGTTCAAGCCCCTTCTCTTTTCTGTTCCTGATTTTCCACATATACAAAAATGGGGGAAGAGGATCTACTCTATTTCTTTCCTGGAAAGAATGGATTTGAATAAGGACCCTTCTAGAGCTCTCTCCAGCTTTATATTTCATCGTCACCCCCAATACCTTTCCTTTCTTTCTCCCTTCCTTCCTTCCCTCCCTCCTTCTTAGCAGTTCCAGCTACAACATTTAACTAAAAAACTTCTTAAAGACCACTTCAATTTCTTTTCTTTGGCCATTACTATAAAATGGTATACTTCTGATTTACTCAAATTAGAATTACAGAAGTTATCTAACATCTACCAAAAAAAAAATGCCCTAGAATATTTTCAAGAGTATTATTCTTAGTAGATGTAGATGAACCCATTCAAGGATGCATTTCAACTAAATCAAATATTAGTAATTCTTTTTTCTTTAATTTTTATGGAGATATGAGCCTCAAAGCTTCATTTAAATTTCAAAGCTGATGACACTTGAGAAACAGATAGCAAAATCTTTTAAAGCCTAGTTCTTTTCAGCAATCCATCAAGTATAGAACATTTAGCCTAAGACAACTGAAGGGAAACCGGGACACATTCTGCAGGATTGTAATGAAAAATGGGAGCTCTGAAGGAATAAACAGAAATATTCTCACTTTGGCAGGGCGTGTGGAGAGAGTGAGTTCTCAAATTACCAAAGTTAACAAAAACTTTACTTCATTACAAAATTTGTGAGCAACATATACCATCAATACGGTATTTTCTACAACATGCACTCTGGCCGGATTCTCTGTAAACACCAATTTCCTAAAATATGAAGAAGTGTCCTCCTTCGTCTCTTCTGTTTTTGCAACAAATCGTACCATTTCCTCCAAACAAAGTAAATTTCCTGAGACAGTTTGCTTCTACGGTGGGTGCCCGTGATTGCTTGTCGTTTTAGTATTTGGAGAATCTCAGAGGGAAAAACATGTCTACGTTCTGCCCCCATGCTCTAGGTTTCTCCTGACATCCTAAGCTCTTCCAAGCAGTGGCTCAGGAGGAAGTTTTCAACTTGCACTCTAAGGAGCTAAGCCTGGGCTCCTGTCTTGCTTCCTTCCCTTATCCACCTTGGCCAATGAAACTTAACTCCTTGTTGAGAAAACTCTTGGCAACTGAGGAGACCCCAGAGATCTCAGCAACGTTTGGACTGAGAATAGAGAACCTTGGAATCTGGTCGGAAGACCTTGAAGACACAGTCAGGAGTCGTGCAAATCCGTTATCAGATCTCCTTATCACTTCCTTCTTTGATACGCATCTCTGGCCCAGCAAAATTTAAATCTTAATTTCTTAATACTAATCGCTCTTCTCTCTTCTTCTGGCCCATGCAAGTCTGGAAAGGTTTGACATGATGGCTGAACCCATTTTTCTCTTAAAAGCCAAATTATTGCAGAGAGTTGAGCTCCTGTTTCTTTTCTCCCTCTTCCTACATGATATATGTACCTCCCCCCCCCCCCTTCTCAACTACTTTATTAGTTTATTCTCAAGGCTCTCTCTCTCTGGGGAAAACTGAATAGAAATCGGGAAGGAAAGGCGATGAGAAGTCCACTTACCGTCTTCTGAACTACCAACATCATAATGGTTGCCACAGCAAAGACGAGACACAGAGCCAGCGCGGTGGTGGTGAAGTAGAAATAGCCACGGCTCGTGGTTCCCAAGTGGCTGGCGACGGGGCCTGCTGGCACATGCATGGCTGTGTCTTGAGAAGGGGCCACTCGGGTGAGTGCTTGCTGCAGCCCTGGGTCCATTCTTATATAGTCTTCCCACAGCACACCTTATCTGTCCTCATCTGATTCACTTCTGGGCCCATCTCTGTTCCAAGAAGGATTCTCCCCCTGCATCCTGAATCATGTGACGTGGAAAAAAACCTTCACCGGCTGCCACACGAAGAAACTCTTCTCTGGGGGCGTGAGGCGAAAGGCGGCAGCAAGGGTGGGGGAGAGGCTCATTTTTCATTGCCAGCCAGGGATGAATCTGAGTCCAGAGCAACTACAGCTCCAGAGAAGGTGATTAATGTCAGAGGGCGAGTAAGAAAATGACGGTTTCCCTACTCCGGGGTGTGTGTGTGTGTGTGTGTGTGTGCACAAAGCGACTTCTGTTTCATTTAGACTCAGCCACAAAACGCCTTCCTGCTCGAGAAGCCGCAAATTCTCTTTAGCGAGGCCTGCAGCTCAGAAGACCTCGGCAGAAAATGTCTCTTTGCGGGGCCTCGGAGAAGCTGGGGTCCTGGCACTGGGCTATAAGGACTCAAAAGGGTTCAGTCTGATCCTATCAGCTTCTGCTGAAAACTGCACGTGCTACCAGCTACCTGGGAAGAAAGAGCCCACAAATGGGGAGTTTTATCCGGACAGGGCAAGCCACGGGCAGGATGAAATGTGGGGGCGGATTCAAAGAGAGCAGGGATCTGGAAACACTGATCTTCTCAACAAAAATTCCTGCTGCCTGCAGACAAACCTGGGTTCACCAGCACACTCCCAGAAAGGGGAAGGGCCTGGCGGGGGCGGGGGCGCTGGGGTGGGGAAGCGGGTGGTGCAGAACGTGGGAGGCGTGTTCTGTGCGGGGAGCAGGTGCAGCGTGGGGGGCGGTGGGCGTGTGGTATGCACGTGTGGCGCGCGTGTGCTGCGCGTCCACGATGTGGGGTGCATGTTGTGTGTGTCTTATGTGTGGTGTGAGGTGGGCGCGTGTGTGAGTGTGACTGTTGCAGCTGAAGCTCGACCATCTCAGGCGCAATGCTGGTGTTAACGGGCTTTGCACCTTGCCTTGCTCCGGTCTCACCTCTGCCCTCTGACGCAGCGAACATTTCCTTTCCACGGTTGGCGAAACTGAGGATCAGAGAGCACGAAAGCTGTTTCGATCAAAGTGGCAATTGTCGATCAATGACATCACCCGGGTGCGTAGCCATACCGGTCGGCCCATGTTAATTTGTTCAATCATCCCGGCGCTTGAAGGCTGAAAACCTGAGTTCTGCTCTCAGCCCTGTCTGCTATTGGCCTTGGGGCCTTGTGCAGGTCCTTACGTCCCTCCCTTCCCCCCCACGCATGGACACACACTGTGCATTTCACATGAGAGAGTCAAGCGAGGGCGCTCTGTGAATGGGGATAGGCTGGGCAAAGGTGTTGGCCCATCCCCGTCAACCATTCCCAGTGGTGCCCTGGGCCGAGTCTTAGAATTTGGACAGCTATAATAGATTCTCTAGGGGACAGAGTTGTCACATCCGCAGTTACCAACAATCTCCATTTCAACACCCCTTTTAAAATATGAATCACTGCAGAGCTCGTGCCTCCAGATGTGGGTCTTTGAAAACTTCATTCGGAAGTACCCAATTCTCTGTAAGCGCCTGCCCTCCCCTGCCTTTCTGCGCATTTTTGGTTGCACTGTATCTCAGAGAGCCAGCAGAAAGCCCAGCTCCTCCTAAGGAAATACCCTGTATCCAAAGCCAAGCTTGGATGATTCCTCCTGCTGCAATTGCAGTGAACCCAGACTGCCGAGCATCGCCTGAGCTGGGTCAGACTCTAGGAATTGGTCTGAATATTCCTTCCCAGTGAATCCATAAAATCACAGATCCTGGAGATGGAGGAGCCATCAAGAGGTAAATTGTTTTCTTGGGCTACCTAGAGTGGTATGAAGTATACCTACGTCACAGTCAAGGAAGCAGACACCCCCTGGACCCCAAGTCGGGCTCAGTTTTGGAAGGAGTGGGTGCACGTGTTCATTTGGCCTGGGAACTGAGGTGGGAATGAAGCAAGCCAGTGTCCTAGCTGATCTGGTGAGAAGGCTGTGTCCGGAGGTGAGCATGGACAGTGAGTGGGTAGTGGGGGGCGCCGTAACCTGCCCAGCACTGCTGAGAACACAGTGCTCCCTTGGCCTCTGTCTTCAGTCTCTTTGATGAAGGTGGAAAACTTCTGATTGTGGAATGGAAGCTGTGGGTGTTGAAAATAAAAAGGCTTTGCTTGAAGTGCAGGTCTTCCTGAAGGCCCGTGGGGCTGAGAAGGGCAGTGGAAAAAAATGTTTGTCTTACAGTTACACATTTTGCATATAGTACAATGTCCTGAGAGGGAAGGCTGACAAGGGGGAAAAAAATCACCCTTTGTTTTTACTCAGAACCTTCTGAGCAGTTGAGATTTTCAGATCTGTTTGCTTCTCCAGCAGCCTGTGCGCCCGATCTCATGGCTGTCCCCGTGCCTCTCCTCCACACGCAAGCTTCCCCGTGTCCCACCCCACTGGTCTGAGCCCTCTCGCTGCCCAGCTGCTCTGGGATCCAGCCTGGCCAACATGGTGGTCCCATCCTTTGTGCTACCTGGCTGCTTTCTCTTTTCCAGTCGGTCATCCGAGATACAAATGGAAAGAGCTTTTACAGAGTTTCTCGTTGAGTGACTTTCAAATCCCTTCTGGAAGCGAAACTCTGCAGTGAGTGTAGAAACGTAAGAAAGCGGAGCTTTTCTGGCTGAAGCAGAGGCAGGACGACGAAGAGGAAGGCTGGGCCCAGCACGTTCATATACCTTTTAGTGGCCTGGGGTCTCTCCAGGCTGGAACAGAACTTGCAAGCTTGCGAGTTAGGTCAAAACCCTTATTCCTCAAATCAGGAAACCGAGGCAGAGAAATGGAGATGAGTCGAGGGGGTAAAGTCGTGCTTACGAGTCCCCTGTGCTCCTTCTTATCCCCTCTCTGCTAATATTCCAGGCACAGCCTCTTCCTGCCAGGCCGTCCTCACCCTTCCACTGCCTCAGAGCCTTCCTGCCCTGCCGCCTGCTTCCATCTCTCAGGGAAGCCTGCCCAGGGCTCTCAAGCCCACCAATATCCTCTCTCCAGAACACTCCATGGTCATGGCCACACAATATTGTATCCAATTAACTACTTGTTTTGACCTCTGTCAAGTGTGTGAACATGTGTGACTCTTGCCTTCCCCATAAGACTGAGAGTTCCTGAGGGCAGTCTTCCTTGACTCCCACCCTGCACTACTGGGGGCTGGACCTATGTACAATCAACCCTCAGTCAATGCTTGTGTTGACTTTGTGTTTATGGAAAGAGAAGGTTCTAGAAGGTTGGTTTATACAAAGGAATTGTGTGATGGTGTATTTGTCTCTCATTTCTCAGTGGGTCCCCGGTTTCCCTGTCCTTCTCTAGGGCTTACCTGGCTGCCCATGGGCCTTTACGTTCCAGCATGGCCCCCACAAAAGTCACCACCAGCCTCCTTTCTGCCTGTAGTTAGTTGCTGAGCTGTGGCTGCAGCATCTGAGACTCAGTGAGCAAACATATCTAATCTCTCATCCCTTTGGGAAGGAATGGCATTTTGGAAAAATGAAGAGGAACCAGCTGTAGGACTGCCCCCCAAACTGCCCTGCCATTGTTTCCCTGTATAAAGGACTGTGAGATCTCTATCATACAGACCCAAAGGGTGGTCCCTCAGCTAACACTAGCAGAATTTGGTGGCACTGCAAATTTTTCGGCTCCTCCCTAGAAACTCAGGCTGGGGTCTAGCCATCTGTGTTTTAACAAGTACCCCAGGGACTTGCAATTCCTGAAACCTTTTGGAAATCATTGGTTTAGGAAAATAATCTAAATTCCAGAAAGAGTCTGTAAGGGATCATCTGGTCCAGACTCTGGCCTTTGGGCAGGTGAAGTCCTATCCCCATTGTGTAGATGAGAAAACAGAGGCATAGAAAAGTTACGATCAGGGTCATGTAGCTGGAGATTGTAGGCATGAAGCCTCGTTTTTCTGTCTCTTATTTGGGCCCACTTTCTAAACTCAAATATGGCTGTAGGCTGTAAAAATACTATTGCAGATGGAGATACGTTTATAATATTTACCTAAAGTTCTCTTGTGGTGAACACTGTATGTGGTAAAAACAAATATTTTTTTAAAAACCTTTGCTATAGGTGAAAGAAGGGCAAACTCCTCCACGGTATTTTCAAGCAATAAAACAGGCAGGACAGATCTTGTCCCATTAACTGGAGAACCCTCTGTTTTGCACACTCTAACTTGAGTAGGTGGGACATTGGAGTTGGCCAGACTGACACTACACTGAGGATCTAGTGACCACAGATACAGTGGATGTGGAAGGTTTAGGGTCACAGCAAACTATGGTCATGGGCCAAACCAGCCCACCACCTACTTTATAAATAAAGTTTTATTGGGACGCCTGGGTGGCTCAGTCGGTTAAGCGTCTGCCTTTGGCTCAGGTCGTGATCCCAGGGTCCTGGGATCAAGTTCCGCATCAGGCTCCCTGCTCAGCGGGGAGCCTGCTTCTCCCGCTCCCACTCCCCCTGCTTGTGTTCCCTTTCTCGCTGTGTCTCTCTCTGTCAAATAAAAAAATAATAGTAATAATAAAGTTTTATTGAAACAAGGTCATGCTCATTTGTTTATGTATCATTATGGCTGTCTTTGCATTACAGTGCAGAGATGAATAGTTGCAACCTAGGCTGACCTCACAGCCCACAAAATCTAAAATATTACCAGTTAGCCCTTTACTGAAAAATTTATCTAACCCCTGATTTAGGGTATTAAAATAAACTCAGCTCAAGGCGGATTACAAAAGAAGGGATTTGGAGAAAAGAACAGAAACGTGTTTCCTCAGACTCCTCCATAAAATCTGCACTTACATTTTCATCGCTAACTCTTGTTTTCATGTGAGAAGTTCCTTTCCTGGGATTCACTAACCGTAAAGGAGCTAGATACCCTCATTTGTGCGTGACCAAATAGACTACTGGAGAGGCCCCAGAAGCTGAGAGAGAGGCCGGCAGAAGAGATCTGGGAAATATGTAGATAGATAGACTCTTGGCATTGGGAATATATGTGTGTGTGTGTTCATAAATAATATGCAATATACATATATATGAATCTATACATCACATGCACGTGCACACACACACGTTATTCCTGCCTACTTTAAAAAGGTTTTGAGACCACTTAAAATAAATGCACACATATATAGGAACTGAAGCTCTTAAAACAAGGCACAAGGTAAGAACCATGATGTAAAGGGAGAGATTAAGGATCAAGAGGTGAACACGCCCTGGCAGATGACAGTGTTCAGCGGTTGAGTGTTCAGCATGTATACTTCTGAGCTTCTTGGTAACCAGGGCAAAGAAGAAAACATATTGGGTTGCTTAACTCTCTTTGATCGTAAAAAGCAGATGAGTTCAAAAGGAGAAATGGACCCTTTGCTGCTTGTACAAGTGCTTTGAAATACATAGCATATCATGAAATGGCTGATGGTAATCTATGAATTTAAAGCTTGGCATCACAATGCATCAGGTTAAGAGCCAATCTGAACAAGTGAAAATACTGGAATATTTAAAAAGAATGTATAGTCTTATGATTTTCAGTGATGCCGAACTGAAGATAAACAGACACTAGGGCAGTGGAAGATTCAAGACAAAAAAAAAAAAAAAAAAAAGAGCATGACTTTCTTGGTGTCTAGGAGCTTCCAAAAGAGCTGAAGGACTAGAAAACTCTTAAGCTAGATGGTCCTTAAGAACTCCGTTGTCATTCAAAGAAGAGAGGCGGATCTGCATTTTTTTTTTTTTTTTTTTTTTTTTGCAAAGCTGGGGAAACATCCTTCCATATCAATAAAAGATAGAGGAGAAGAGACAGGATGACACATTCTATGATACGCCACCCGTTGGGCGTCTGAGGGCGCTGCTGTGTGTGGCTAGGCGCTGTTGCTATAGCAACGAACACCCCACAGACATCATCCCTGACTTCGTGAAGCTTACAATCGGGGAAGCCAGATGGACGATTAAATATGTAATTACAATATAATGTAATGGATATTCATAGCAGATGATTCAGGGCATTATATGTGCAAGGTGAGAAAACCCAATCTCCTCTATCATTCTCCCGGGGGCTTCCTTGTGGTGACATCTTTGATTGTACACGGGTTTAATAAGTAAAAACACCCAAACTCTACTAGGTCCCTTCACTCCCTTCCTCTTCCAATTTAAAATCTTCCAGCATCTGTCCTTGCCTGTGGAGTCCAGGTCACACGTCCTTGTATGGCCTCCCTGGCCCTCCCCTAAGCTTCATTTTCAGCCTCTGATCCCACTAAAAACCTAGCTCCACTCCGGGTGCCCTGTTTATTCTGATCCCCTAGCCGGCTAATCCCTCCCCTGACTCCGTTTTCCTGTAGGCAGCATCCTCACCGGAACATCCAATGCCCTATCTTACATCTCTCGCTCTGGCAATCCAACGTTTGTTTAAGTTGCTGTTCAAATATTGTCTCTGCTCTGAGTGTCCACCCCCGACTTTCAGAAGAAATATATCCCTCCGTAGGGTTTCAGAGCACACTTCTACCTCTAGTCAATAATGGCGAGAGTAATAGTTTTATGATTACAACCACCATACCTCCATTTAACGAGCATTAGCTCATTGTGTGCCAAGCACATTACATTCATAATTTCACTTAATTTGTCCATTACCCTGTGAGTGCTCTTACTCCCCTCTGGCAGATAAAGAAAACTAAGCTCGGAGCTGCCAAATGGCTGTTCCAAGGTCGTTCTGGTATTGAGCAATGGAGCTGGCGTTCTGAATCAGGGCTGCCTGGCTGCAGAGCAGGTTGCTGTAAACACCATGAGATTCAATTACCTGTATTCTAGGTAGCTACCTATGGCTCTGTCTCCCCAACGGTGCTGTAATCACCCTGAGAACACAGCATGTCCATGGAGTAAATAAATGGCTTGCACATGTCCACACCTAGCAGGTTCCCAATAAATGTTTAAATGGTACATTTACCTATTAAATCCACTTGAAGTACATAATGTTGGAGGAAACACCATTTGTTTTAAGGCACCGTGCCATTTTCATAAATGAGATCTAAATATGAGCCCGTTGCAGAGAAGAGATCCAAGACCTGATCCTCTCTCCGGCCTCCCCTCTTGCTGCCTTCCATTCTCCAAATTCCCGTCTCTCTTCCGACTCCAGTTCCCTGCCCCTAAGTATATGCGCACACACATGTCCCCAAATAGAAGCAGACAGAAACTGTGACATGTTAAGGAAATCTGTGTCTTCTTGGAACATAATTGGTGGGCAAAGAATTCAATGAACAAATGTTATTTGGAGAAAAGGAGAAATAGAAAAAGAGGGGGGCGGGAGGGAGAAAGAGAAATTTAGAAACTTTTCAGAAGTTTAGGGTCTGTTTTGTTTGAGGAGAAGAATGGCTCATTTCTCAGTTACTCAGACTTCTTTCGAGTGGAGTACAGCCTCCATCCTCTGGGCGTGATAGATTTATGGACTTTGCTGGGGGTGGTGGTTGACATTGAAAGATATCCTAAAGTGTTTTTTCCTGATGTTAGCAAAATCAGGAAATGACCTTTTCTTTTCTCTTTAAAGTGGGCTAGGTTTTTTTTTTTTTTTTTAATTTCTACGAAATTTGAAGTTCAGCGGGTCCTGCTTTTGAAGTAAAAATCAATTTATCCCCAGAGTAAATGA